TACCAGAAATATCTCACACCAAAGTACATATGTCAGATATTTGTAGAGGTAGCTTTACAGTCTTCTCCATAAATAAGTTCATAATTTGAAAAAAACATTTTTTCAGTTATATGGAATGGAGTGGAGAGATACTTAGAATATATGGAAGCATTAAAGGGATTTCTTCCAACTTGCATTTAAGTGGCAGTTACTATACAGCTGTTCAACCCACCATGAGCAGCTTAACTATCCATTTTACAGGACAAATATGGGACTAAACAAGTAACTGAAATATTGGGCAACTATGAAGAGAGCAAAAAGACCAAGTTAATGTCATTTTTTATTTGAGGATAATTATTTAAATAAACAGTGGAGGCATCAGCTATCTTCGCTGTGCTGAATTTTAACATTAAAACTGATTGAGAATCCATAACAATACAGTGCCCTCTCCCTTTACCATTATATAGTAGGAGACAGATCCTATTCAAACTATTAGGTATCTAATTGGACTTATGGGCCTAAGTATGATTTTCCTCCACCCCTGATGAAACACAAGTGCATTGCTGCAGACAGCTTAAAAAATGGCCAATAGGGTGAAAATCAGGTGAAGATGTTTCAAAACAGAGAATCTTCCGTAACTTCTGTCTGCACTGCCTGCCAGCCTGTCACTGTTTTCAGAATGGGAGGGGGGATGGTTTGGGGGTTTTTTAGTCCCTACTAGAGGGTGGGGCGGGGTGTACTATAACCCCCCGAGGCAGGGGGTGTGGGGCTCCAATACATCCCCAGCCCACCCTCCAGAGCTGGCTGGGGAACCCCTAGAATGAGCTCCCTCTGCTCCCTTTCCTCCCTCCCATTCTGAAACAGGGACAGACTGGGAGTGAGATGGGGAGGTTGCTAGAGGAAACCACTCCAGCTGCAGGAAATCACTCTAGCTCTCCCCTGGAACCAACAGTGAACTTCTGTTTGTTCCAGGAGATTGTTGTAACTCAGAATAATTTTTTGGTGACCAAGCAGCAGGTTAAATCCAGAAAAGTCTTGTTCAGTGAAGTGGTGGGAAATTATTCTTATTACATTGCCTGGTATAAGAGTAAGGCAGACAAAGACAATTTCTAAAAAAACCACTATTTAAATGCAGTCACAAAATTCCACATGGCTGTGAAAACAAATGCTGTGGTTGACATGGGTTTTTCCAAGTACATTATATTAATTCTAGGAATATTGAATTCCTTTATAATAACTTGATATGGTAAAATTTAGGATTAAACATGAAAGTGAATGACTGGGTAACTATGAAATAAGCAAAAAGTCTAAGTGAGCATCAACCTTATTTGATCTGGGAGTAGAGTTCTAATAATATGATGTGAAGAATAAGATGAAAAATTAAGAGACTATGGATTTTTTTATAGATAAGTATTATTCTTACCTAAGAATTTCGACAGTGTATTTAGATACAGATGCATTTAGATATTCTTACCCAAGAATCTAGACAGATGTACATAGAAATTTTAATTTTCTCTTTAGGTTAAAAAGTGATTATTCAAGGTCAAGAGTTTATTATTTTATCTTCTTGAAATTCCAGTTGTCCAAAATTCCAGTACCCTGAAGCCAGTCAAACAACAGGAATGCTTCAATGTAATACATTTAATGTATCTTAAAAACCATCAATAATGGTTAAAAGCTTATTCAAGAGCATACCTTTTAGATTTGGTGCTTGTTCTTGGTCTATATTCATGAGATTCATCTTCAATGCCATTTTGTCTTTTATACCAATCAAACAAAGTACGAAGAATAGAGGGTAAGCAATACTCTGAAAGGGAGCTCATTGAGCTTATTACCTAGTGGGTAAAACAAAATAATTCAAATACTATACAGGCATTATCTTCTCCTTCACATGGTACTGTAATATTTCATTCAAAGGCTAAACTTGCTCATTCTTGTTATATCTCTGTTCTGAAGTTTTGATCATGTATCACAAGCAATAACTCAGTATTTTTTATCACCATACCCTTATAAAAAGAAATATAATTATGTTTTCATGTCTATAGTGCTTTTTCATGTCTATAGTGCATTGAAAACACTAACTGCAGCTTTAAATGCAAGAAAAAATCTACCCAAGTTTTTTAATATGCTGACTGACATAATACCTGAGCATATTAAAAGGTAAAGCGACACATATATTTTCCATATTGATGAAGGCACTCTGTCTCCAAGCCAGGAAAGCACAGAAACAACTGTTCATATGTGCATAGTCCACTAAATCATTGGGACTACTCATCTGCTTGAAGTTAAGAATCTAGTTAATTTTCTTCAGGGTAGTGGTACAAAGATTGGAGATAAAGGAGTTGAAGAATTGTTGTAGCTGAGGTGCTCCAGGAAAGAGTCCTTTTGAGATATATTTTATTAGACCAACTATATAGTTGGGAGAGATACTACTGAAAGTTGGTATGCAGATACTGTAGCTTGGTATAGTATAAGGAGACCTCCAATAACACAATATTAGAGTAGTCTAGGTCTAATTACACTGAAGTCTGGAAACATAAGCCTTCAATAAGCTCTTTTAGGATATAGATGATTTGTCAGCTCAAAATGCTAATTATTAACAATACAGGATGCTCTCAAAGTACAGCTTAGACAATTTTATCTTATTTTCTAAAGCATGACAAACTTATTTCTACAAAGCTTGTTAATTATGAATAATAAAATAATGCTGGTTGGGCCAAAGCATGAAACACATGCTCGGGCTAAGAGAGATGGGGCCAGAAACAGAGAGCAGGCTATGAGATGGAGGCTGCAACAGAGTGCCCAGGAGCGAGTAGCCCAGAGAGACCCTCAAGGAGCCCAGAGGGGTGATGAAAGATCAGAGCAGGTAGGCCTGCAGTGGTCCTGGAGAATAACCTAAAACTACACCCTCCTGGGTTTGGATGGCATGGTAGGGCTGCCTGTGGCAGGATAGTCTCCAGGAAATGCCACACCAGTGCCTCCCTATTGAAAGGCAAGTATGGGGTACCAGAAAGCCTCAGCCCCCACTGCCTTGTGGGTGGCTCTGTGGAGGGGAAAGACTAGGGGAGTACACTCTAAGAGAAAAGCACCAGGCTTGGGTGAAAGCACAGGGACCAGGAGAGCCCAAGGCCCAAAGCCTGAGAGAGTGAGGCCTGGGCAACAACTCAGGGTCCAATGCCTGTAACAGAGAGAGGAGGCCTAGTGGGAGGCCAGAATGAGAGTGAGGTTCAGGTATGTCAGGCCTGAGTGGGCCGTAGGCTGAGAGTGGGGTCCAGGCATCAAGCCCTGAAGCCTCAGTGGAGGGGCGGAGTAGTTACCCCAGTGAGGGGACAGAGTGTGAGGGGCTAGGAGCCTAATGAGAGGCAAGATGCCCAGAACATGTGTGGAAGTTGAGGCCCCAGTGAGGGGGCATGTGGCCAAGGCATGTCTGAGGACACCTGAGGCCAAGTTTGGGCCAGAGGCTGAATGTGGCCCAGCAATGGGGCTGGGGGAGTAATAGTGGAAGTGAATTTTGGATGTCATCTGCGAGACATGGTACACAGTAAAGGGAAGGTCGGAGCTGTGTATTACAGCCTTGGCATCAGGGCATTAAATGGGCAGCCTCCCATACTTTCCATCTGGTTTAGATACATGAAGGCATGGCAAGTGAGTCAGAGCGGATTGCCTTAGACAGGTGGGTGGGCCGACATTGTGCCTGGCCCCAGGGATGGCCCCGTCACATCATGTTTCTCAGGCCTCTAATAATTTTTGCTCTTCTATGTTGGACTCCTTCTCATTTTCCCATATCTTTCTTGAAATCAGGGACCAAACACTGAGTATAGTTTTCTAGGCGAGACCTCATCAGTGCTCAACAAAGTGGGAGACTCATTTGCTTTGATTTGTAAGTGACACTCCTACTACCATATTTTATAAATACAAGTTCCTCTAAATCAACATTTGTTTCCATATCACAAGCCACATGAAGATACTACTAGCAGCTCACTTGCACAAGAGACAGTGCTCAGCCAGTAGCTATGGCTGTCAGAGAGTTAACATAGGACTCTGCCATCTTGGTAGCTGCTTGGTATGCAGGGTGTCTCCTGGCTTGTTTCTTTTCCAGTGAAGAAAATAACTTCCCTACTTAAAGTATGCACCCCAGTTTTGATAGGCAAAGGTGTACACTGTATGTGAAAGAACATGGTAATACAGACCAATATATTATTGGCCTTCTTTGCAGCAAGAACATACTGTTAGTTCAGCTTTAGCTTATGGTCCAGTATAACCCCCACTTCCTGTTCTGTATGACCACAGTCTAGCCACTTATTCTGTACTTGTCTTAACTGAATTTCATTCCACTGATTACAAACCATTTCTCCAGTTTATTGAAGTTGTTCTCAACCCTAATTCTACCCTCCAACATGTCTGCAATACCACCCAACTTGGTGTTGTCTGAAAATTTGCTATACATGTACTTCTTCAACTCAATAATGAAGATATTAAACAAAATTGGACCCAGGACAGACCCCTGTTAAAGCTGTTTCACTCTACAAAACTAATTAACTATTGATTTGGCTAGGGAGGGAGAACATGAATGATAGTGAACATGATTCTATAACATAGTGGTTAAGGTATACTCCTGGGAGAAGAGCATCTCAGATTCCAGTCCTGTGTCTGTTCAGAATATAACATAAAATACTGTTCTTTTTTATTAAAGAAAGGACATAGATACTTTACTCAGGAAAGTTAAAAAAACGGAGGAAGATGCCTTCTGTATTCCAAAATACCAGGCACTGACAGACATGGAGGAAACCCTCCCCCCCCCCACCATCCCAAACACACTCTACCAAAGCAGCAGCTCATTACTTCAACCCAGCTCTTTAGTGTTTGTAAAGATTGGGCACAAAAGCGGGGATTTTTGGCGCTTTTAGCTAAAGCTGAGTCAATCAGCTATTAGATAAAAGTGCCAAAAAAGCCTCACTAAAGTGTCCAATTTCTACAGGTGTCGGGAAAGCCGGGTGCAACTAAGGCATTGCCTCTTCTGGGCATGTGCTGGGCTTTGCACAGGAGCACACTGAGTTTAAAGAAAAGCACCATTTTTTTTCCATGTCTGCAAATAGCCATACTGACTAAGCCCCAGAAAGAGGCTGACTTTAAGGCACCCATATGTACTTAGTGTTTCTTAGGGTGCTAACAGATGTTCAGCTCCCTGCTTCAACTCATGCTGCTTCACAAAAAGCACCATGAATTACAGCAACCCCCCCGACCAAAAAGAGGTTTGCTGTTGGGTCTGGGAGTAGGGGATCGAGCTCCACCTTGAAACTGATCCAGCAGAGAGAGGCTGCCTAGCTGCAGCCGCTCTCCCCTACCCCACCCCCACTCCCAGTTCCGATGCTGTCTGCAGGATGGAAGGTGGGGAGAAGAGAGGGAAGCTTAAGCAGGAGGGTGACTGGGATGGGGAGCTGTGAGGTGGGGGGAGGCTGCCGCTCCTTCAGCTCAGGATGCACAAACCTCAGCCTGGAGCTCCCTCCCGCTTCCTTCCCCCCACTCCAATCCTGCAGACAGCACCAATCATGCAGAGAGATTGACAGAAGTTAATGAAGGCACTCTGCTTTGGAGCGCCTTCATAGCTAGGGACAGACATTACACATAAACCAGTTTAAGTGATCAGAAACTGGTTTAAACCTGTAACAGAACAGTTGTTCAGCGCACATAAACCAGTTTGAAAATGTCTGAAACTGGTTTGAGATAAACCTGGTTGAATGTAGTATCAAACTTAACTGATTTGGGTCAAACCGGTTTATGCAATGTCTGTCCCAGACTTCTTCCTGGTTTAAGTTAAATCTGAGTCCCTCAGAATCCCAGATGCTTTGCTGGGTGGGGCTCTGCTCTCTGCTCCAGCAGGTCTGGCCCCACCCCTCTGCTTCCTAGCTGCAGCTCCTGCTTGGCTTCCTGTCTGCCTGGCTTCCTCCTGCTTCCCTCCCACCCCCCACCACTCCCATCTCAAGCAGGGGTTCCTCCCTCTCCTCTGCCTTACATAGACACCTCTCAGTGTTAGCTAGCATACCACATGCTGGCTACGTCTATGCTGTGGGAGATGGGACAAAGGCAAACAGCACAGTAGCTCAGTGCTCCTTGAAGCTAATCAACAGGTAGCTGGTAATGTCCCTCCATTCCTTCCTTGGAAAAAGTTGTTTAAGAAGAGCTTGAACTAATGAGTGATCCTTTTGTTTTGATAACAGGGTGATTAATGCTGTGTAAATCCCTGCTGACTGTGTAAATCCCTGCTGACTCCCTTGCTGGTTGGAGAGGGGACGGGGAACCCCTCCCTAATCAGAGTGTCCTGCCAGGGCCTGACCAGGCACCCCTCAGCTCAGTATTGTGGAAGGGATTGAGGGCTGCTCCAGCGGCCCCCCAGCTTCTAACCTGAGCCACTGCAGGCATGTGCCTGCATTTTTTTAGTCCAGAGGGGATGTCTGTATAGTTACAAACTGATTCAGCCTGGGTAGGTTAAACTAACCTGAAAAGATTGAATCAATTCAGGCTCAGGCTTTTTGAATGTCTGTCCCTAGCCCATCTGAAACCTCATTACATGAGGGTTAATTTGTCTTGCAATCGGGCACTTTTAAAGTGCTCTGCAGCTGTGCACTTCTGTCAGGATATGGTTGTAGAATGCTTTAGGGAGCTGATCATGCAACAAATGTCACTCCTGTCAGTGCTGTTTGGAGTGTTTATACATGTGATCCGGGAATTGGGGGGGCACTTTAATTAGAGTAGCTCCAAGAGCTGCTGTAATTACAGCACCTGAAGCATCTCATGTATCAACATCCCCACACTTAAAAATGGTGGTGGGGGTGCT